CTTTATAAATACCGTCTCTTTCTTTATAGCGACGGCTCGCGTTACGCCGATAACGATAATAGCAAAGTATTCGCTACATTAACCCGTCCTTATTACGCGGCGCCTTATTCTTCTTTTTCTAGAAATTAGATATAAAGGGCTATATCTTCTCGAATCTATCTCTATATATTAAGGAGCCTATAGTCGATAGACTAAATAACGAATACCGCAGTTTAACTATAAAGAAGGATAGGATTAGATAAGCTATATTAACCGTAATAAGCGTAGATATCGATATATCGTTAATAAGAGCCGTAGAAGTCGTAGAAGAGTCGATAAATAAAGAGAAGAGTAGAAATAATAGTTCTCTCTAGTACTATATTAATATATAAGGTAGAGAACCGAGGTATCTACGGTTTGCCTGTTTTGGCTGCTAAAATGGGTGCTTTTCAGATACGGTAATTCGCATTATAAGGCAAACCTTGCTCAGAAGTGGGTACGCCAGCGGCAACTAAATTCTAGGGACAACCACGACAAATTAACACGCGATGGAAGCGAAACCTTATCTAGATCCAGATCTATTCTTCTGCAATTCCATCGATAACCCATTCTTTGAGATCATCAATCTGGCAGTCATATGAAATGCATGTATGGCTGTCTCTCACAGATAGAACACAACGAAGTCGGTGGCAACGAGACTGCCTTTCAACTCACTCACATGTTTTCTTTGTGCACTTCGACCTCAAAACGACTTCGCAATCACATCTTCGTATCCTCCTGTTCTTCCTCTGCGTAGCCCGTACCCACGTCAGCAGGCAATACTTCCCAGCGACCGCATAGTGCGGACGTTTGAGTTCCCGCATACAGGTCGACGTGAAAGCGAGAGAAGGCGCCAACGATGTCTTCCTTGATCACTCCGAACGGAGCAGGAGCCATGCCCATTGCTTCTCTAGGCCCCTTTCCGCTCCGCTCATTGCAACTTTCGGGGCGCACACATCGAACATCTTCCCGCCAAACTGTGTAGAAGTTCCTCAGCATGTCAGATCCCCATCTTTTATCCGTGAGCACTGAAGAGCAACCTACTGGGCGCGGTAAACGAGTGAAGAAGCCATCGCCGAAGGTCAGAGATGCCGCTGCTTCAGCAGGCCATCTTTCGTCGCCATTGACGCATCTGCCACGCCGCAAAGTCTTCCGCACAACCAACAACGCCTTGACAGCACTCGGAGCATCGGCCACCAGCTCGGCGTCTTCTAAACCACCTGCTGGGCACACAACTAATCCACAAGTGAACAATCACTCGAGCGGCGGAACGCCCGCAGGCGTGGCCAAAACCGCGAAAGAGTTCAAGAAACCGAGAGCGCATACAATGGCACGTCCAAGGCAGCCGAAGTCGCAGCAGCTTCCATCACTTACAGCAAGATTCTCAGCCGCTACACTCATCATCTATCAATGGCCGACGCCAAATCCACCGAAATCTTTTCTGGACCTGTCCGGGTCTAATCGCCGCTGGAAGAATCGCAAAGACGAGGAGGAGCAAGCAGCCGACGCTGAGGATGGCGTGGACGACTGGGAGGCTTATGATGGTGATGCAAATATGTACGGTGGTCCAGAAGGCATAGCAAATGCTGTCGCTAGCACATTCGTAAAGCGTGCCAAGCGTGCTTTCTGGAAGGGACAAACCTGGGAGGAATTCGAGGCCGCAGAGTTGGGTTTCAATTTGAAAGAAGCGGTCGAGGCGAGCGATGATCAGTCACAGCGACGAGTTCTTGAATTTGAGCCTCTCAATAACGGGCTCCGTTTGGATGTATTCGATCGGATCAAAGAGCGGCTTTGTAACGAAATCTGGTTGGAGGCATACCCTCCGTCTCGTCCTTATACGGTCAATGGGGCTACCAGCAGGCGAGATACCAGAGCACCGACTCCAATCACATCTCGGACTATGGCGGAGCACCAGATCATGGAGAAAGAGCGCACAACGACCGCTTTCGAAGCACGCGACGCAGGCTCCTTTCCAGTTTACGGTGGCCATCGTCTTTTTCCCTATTGCAACGTGGTCTTCAAGGATGACTAGCGGCTTCGAATGGTTGCATATACCGTCGCTTGGGTAGTCGCCTAACAGATGGCTCGGAGTGAGGAGAAGGTGAGGTGAGAAAGAAATCGGGACGACTTCCGGCTTTTATAAAATTCAAACCCGCTAGGATAAACCTCAAGCTCCGGCTTACTAAGGAAAACCGTCTCTTACTGTTCTGATCGCATTTTCTTAGCAAATGTGGTGTATATCGCGATTTCCAGTATGTAGAATGTTTCTAGTAGTATTAATATCGTAAAGTTAGTCCTAAACATTATTTTCTAAGGGTATTCCGATAGTTTCGAGCGCAAATCGCGCCCGGGCGCTAGATCGAGCGTAGCATAGTATTTTAGTGTATTTCTCGACGCGTTTTCCTACGCGCTCTTCCTCCTACGAATTCTCCTCTTACTAGGCTATTATAGCAGCGATAGAGGTCGTAGATATACTAGCAACGGCGGCTCTCGATAACTACGAGTCGGAGTTTCTCGACTACGTGTTTCTACTAAGCGATATAGAAGCGATTATCGACCTTAAGAACGAAGAGTAGCATCTAAGCGGCGGTAAGGTTGTTAACGCGTAGTATACCGTAGAAATACGCCCTAGCCTTCTAAGTTAGTAGGAAATTAATAAAGCCGAGCAGCAAGAGATTAATAATAATCTAGAAGCGGCGGCGGAAGCTAAAGGTAGTTAGAATAGTAAGGAGAATAGTAAGGAGGTTAGTAAAGAAGATAGCGACAACGACAGTATCGCGCCTCGCGTTACTCGCGAGTCCTTCGAAGAGATTCCGTTGCCGTTGCTACCGCCGTCGTTTACTACTCGAGAAGAAGCTAAGAATTGGATCTATAACTTTGCTCGTATCGAGGGTTACGAGTTTAAGCGACAAGGCACTAAATTAAACCTCCTACGCTAGCATTAGCGCGTCTTCTACTATTGTAGTAAAGGCGCTACGAAACAGTAGTAGAAGAGGCTCGAGGTAGGTATAGCAACCTTCGTTAGCGGCTAGCGAGTTAATATAACTAGCAAGAAGCGTAAGCGGAAGGGCACTAAGATTACTAGTTATACTTACACCTTTACAATTAGCGCCTCTAGCGATTACGAGAATAGTGTTAAAGGTCCTAAAGTTACCTAGTTCTTACGAGTTAGCTCTCGACTAGAGTATAACTATAGACTAACTAACGCCTACGGATTGCTATAGTATAGACGTCGCGAGCGGAGCGCTAAGATGCTAGCTTATCTCTATACTCTATACTCTTCCGAACTATTAGCAAGAGTATATCGCAACCTATATAAGAAGCGCTTTATACCGGAAGGGTAGGACTCGCTATCGCCTTAAATAATAAGAGATATTTATAACTACTAGTCTAAGGTTAGAGCTATAAAGCTCGGTAATAAGATACCTATTAAGAAGGCACTTTAGGTGCTAGAAGAACGAGGCTTCTTCGTCCGTAAGAGCGTCCGAGATAGCCGTCTATAATAGATCTTCTTCGCTTATCTAATAATAATTAAGGCCTATCGATCATACCTAGAAGTCTTGCTTGCTAACTGCACCTATAACGTAATAGATTATAGCCTACTACTGCTTAACTTTAGCTTCCTTACTAGATTTAATTTAACGGCTCTATTAGCTATAATAATAATGCTAAACTAGCGAGAAGCGGCCTTTATTATTGCCCTTACTATAAGAAGGGTTATGTTAGCAGGTAGATAGGGTAGTAGTGAATTAGTTTAGTATTCGATAAGGATCTAGGAGGAGAGGGAGGAAGGTAGGAGAGTTAGCCTAACGCCAAGCGCCAAGCCCTGCCTAAGGCATCGAGACCCTAGCTTTACTCGGCCTAGTTATATGCCAATTACGTATAGCCTCTTTAGCCCTAACACACGCTTCCCTTCTAAAGGCCGCGCCCTCGTAGCCTGCCTATGTTCTAATCCCGACCTCTATTGCCGCTAACTTAGCAAGTCTAATAAGCTGCTTAGCCGCACTAAATTAAACACTTAACTACCTAATTATATAACTATATCAAACCTTACCTCCAAACAACACAATATATAACTCTAACTGCGCTATCCTTATATACAATAAAGTGAAGGGATATAAAGCTATAAGAATTAAGGACTATCGACTAATTATAATACGAGCGCGTCTTCCCTACTGCAATAGGTAGACGTACGAGGTATTGTAGCACTGCCTCCGTTCTAAGTAATGTCGTACGAGTTCTTTACGTCTACTCTAACAGACCTAGAAATGTCCGCTCCGAGGGTTTGTCCGCTTCCGAGGGTTGTTCTTATTATTACGAGGGCTATTATTTACTATCGTAGTTTTACTAGCCTAAATTGGTTAGGTTTGGCAGCCTTTAAGTGTTAACTAATCATATCTTTTTAAAAAACTCAGTTCTTCTAGTTTCTATAGGTAAAGGCTATTATAAGTGCAGTAGTAGAGGTTCGCCTCGCTTAAAGAGTCGGAAAGATTAAGGAGTAACCTATTGTCCGCAAGATCGACCCCGGCTAGCTTAGCTCTATAGTTTTGCCCTTAGTTAGTCTATTAGTCGCTCAATCTTTTAACTTAGTTAAAGTTTTAACTTAGCCTCAAAGTTTTAATTAAACCTTTAACAGGCTTAAAGCTTTAATTAAAGTTTTAATTAAAGGTGCCTTAGGCTCGTAGTATAGGTAAGGTTGTATCTATAGGCGTAGCGATAATAGCAAGTAATGTTAACAATAGTAGCGCTAGTCGTCTTAGCGCTAACTTTACCTCCTTTAACTAATAACAACTCGGCAATACCGTTACTAACATAGCGGTATCCTTCCTTTCTTAAACAGCAATATACCCGTAATACTATTACTAATATAGCCGCGCCGGCTACGCCGGCCGCGCCGATTGCCTAGGCCTCGAGGCCTCGACGGAACGAGGGAATAAGAGGGGGACCTATAGGGCGCGTTAGTAAAGAGGTAGAATCCTTAAAAGAGTAGGCAATTAGTTAACGCGTCGTAGCGCGCTTATTAACACTCGGTGCGCGTTTACTATAGTAGTGTAGTCTTATTGTCCTTTGTTACTAACAATTGCTTGCTTCTAATTAGTTAGCTAATAGCACCCCGGGGGTAGCATTAATCCTAGGCCTTAGTAGTAACATTATAAGCTTTTGGCCTTCTTCTTGTTCTTTACGCTAGTCTAATACTTATCTAACAACTCGGTTATGTCCTTAAAGGAGTCTTTAGCTTCCTATAAGTCCCATTCTAGTAAATAGCCTTGCTATCTTAGTAGGTACTCCTTCTTGCCTTGCCTAGTCCGGTACTTTAGGATACGTTCTATAGACTATAGCTCTTTACTATCCGCTAGTATGTCTTCGTGTTTAGTAGGGGCTTCATCCCCCTCGCGTAGGTAATATAGCTTAAGGAGGGATACATAGAAGGTATTATAGATAGTATAATAAGGAGGAAGCTATAACTAATAGGCCTATACGGAGGAGCCCTTAACTTCTCGAATGCGGAATAGACTAATGTATCTTAGTGCGAGCTTAGGCCTTGTTTTGCCGTTAGGTAATAGGTGTTTACGGATACGGAGGTTCTTAGTACTTAGCATAACTATATCGCCTTGCTTAAAAGTTATTAGCGTATAGTGTTTGTTATAGTAGGCCTTCTAATATGCCTAGGCCTTTACTAGTTTGTTAGCTAACTTAGCGTAAATCTCTCGCATCTTTTGAACCCTCTTAATAGCCGCTAGTGTTTCGGGTACTTAACGCGCTTCCCTTTCCTTACGCTCGGCCTCGAGCGGCAGGGGGTCTTGTAGTATAGCAGCGTTCTAACCTATTATAGCTATGTATAGCGAAACCTTGGTAGATAAGTGTACACTGTTGTTATATACGAATTCTGTAGGCTATAGGAGGTTGACCTAGTCGTTAGGGTTCTCGTTAATGTAACTACGCAGGTACTGCTATAGGGTAGCATTCTACCTCTCTGTTTGACCGTTAGTCTGTAGATAGAAGGCTATTAATAGCCGATGCTTTAGTCTTAGCTATAGGCATATCTCGCTCTAATAATAGGATATAAATGTCGTGCCCCGGTTAGAGACTATCCCCTTAGGGGTCCCCTAATAGGTATAGAAGATGTTGCTCTATAGAGCCTCTACTATATTAATAGCAGTCTAATCCTTCCGTGCCGGTATATATCGAGCGCCTTTAGTAAACCGATCTACTATAACAAAGATAGCATCGAAGATGTCCTTACTACCCCTACGTTTAGCAGGTAGAAGGCCTATAATAAAGTCTATTATAAGCTCTATAAATAGCTTGTAAGGGATTGGTAATAAGGACAACTCGCTAAAAGGCTAATGTTTTAGTGCCTTAATACGTTAACATACGGCACACGTATTAACGTATTCCTTTATGTCCCGCTTACTATTTAGCTAGTAGTATGTGCGCGATAGTAGCTCGTACGACCTCTCTGTACTATAGTAACCGGCAAGCTTACTATTATAGTGTCGCTTAAGAAGCTCTTGTCGGATCGAATGTTTAGCGGGGACATAGTATCTGCCCTTGAACTTTAAATAACCTTTGTTATCGATCGACTAATTGTTACTCTTACTAGATCGAGTCTTTCGCCTACTTATAAGCTTGTCTATACGTTTAGCAGCAAAGGCGTCCCTCTGCTAAGCCCGTAACAGCTTATCTATAAACGATTAACTATCCCTATTTGCAAGGTTATTTAATAGCACCCTTGCTATTAAACGAGGTACGTATTATATACATCTAATAGTACTAGCAGCCGGATTAACTGCATTAGTGCTATCGCTATTACTATATATTGCGATGTCGACTAGGGAGTTATTATAACTTCTCCTATCTGTGTCCTCGGCCCTTGCCTTAATACGCACTATTAATATAGCAAGAGCATTAATATGCTTTAAGCCGTCGCGGAGTCCGGTAAGCCGCTTATCCTACGCTTGCTTATTAACAACACGGGCTATAGCGATCTTGTACTATAGGGTTAGAAACAAAGAATTAATGTGTTAGGTT